TGTGCAGGGGGTGGGGCACATGTGGGAGACGCGTGTGCAAGCACAGGGGGAGTCACACATGCATGGTGGGGGGAGGGGAGAGTGCCAGGGGGGCGGCACCCCCCTCAGCTTGTTTTTGGGCCCAGGAGGCTGCAGGGAGGCCTGCTAGGCCCAAACAGGGTGCGGGAGGTGCAGTGTTCCACCCATGGACCGTTTTTGGGGCCAGCAGTCTGCAGGGAGACCTGCTAAACCCAAAATGGGGGGCGGGGGTCGCACATGCATACATGGGGGGGAGGGGGAGCGTGGCGGAGCATGTGCGCATGCGCGGGGGCAGGGAGAATGTGGGGGGGTCTTGCGTGCATCCGTAGGGGGAAGCATTACAATATGGGTGCCAGCACGTGCGTGCACTGGCACACGCGTGCACACTTTTGGCACACAACGAGAAAAAGGTTAGCCATCACTATATACCTATACCATTTCAGACAGTCTCTTCTTAAAAAACCTCCAGGGATGAGGCACCCACAACTTCTGAAGGCAAGCTGTTCCACTGGTTAATGCTTCTCACTGTTAGGAAGTTTTTCCTTAATTCCAGACTGATTCTCTCCTTGATTAGTTTCCATCCATTATTTCTTGTCTTGCCTTCTGGTGCTTTGGAAAATAAGTTGACCCCTTCCTCTTTGTGACAGCCCCTCAAATACTGGGATCCTGCTATCATGTCACCCCAGTCCTTCTTTTCTCTAGACTAGCCATACCCAATTCCTGCAACCATTCTTCATATGTTTTGGTCTCCAGTCCCTTAATCATCTTAGTTGCTCTTCTCTCCACTTTTTCCAAAATCTCAACCTCACAACAAATGGAGACTCTGGATGATGGGTCTTCCAGCAAAGAACTGTGAATTTATTCTTAAAAGAATAAGTTCTTTTATCCTTTGCCTGTAGCGAGTAGTATACATTCTTTTCCCTGTCATCTTAGCCTTTCTTTGACCTATTCAGTTGCTGGGACAAATGTGATTTGCCGCAGGGCAACTGACCGGAACATGCTTGTAAACGAGTTGCAATCCTTAAATCTCTATCTGATCTGATTTTGATGAATTGCTTCCCAGTCCTAGGCATCGGTGTATGATGTTATCATACTGCCAGTCGCAAACTCTGTTTTTCCATTCCCAGCGCAGGCAGCCTTTGACTTACAATAATTTCTTTAGCAACTATTTGCGAGTCAATGGTACTGAGAAAAGTGACTTAAAACCGGTACTCACACTAGAACAGTTGCAGCATCCTCATGGTCACATGATCAAAATTTGGACGCTTGGCAACTGGCATGTATTTAAGATAACTTTTATTGTCATTTTTTTAATTGTGAGCACACTGGCCCACATTAAAAATGAAATTCTGCTGCCTGCTCTCAAATGAAAGTATGTATCTACCCATATACTTACATAACACAGTTATATACATGTCATACACACATATCCTGTTTCCCTGAAAATAAGACATATCCTGAAAATAAGACCTAGCATATTTTACGTGTGTGCCTAATATAAGCCCTGCTCCAAAAATAAGCCCTATTTAAGAGCCTGACCAGCCCACCGCCTGTCCATTCTGGTTGCTTGTGATGCTGCAGCCACAAGGTGAGGTGGGGTGGAGCTGCCTCATGCGCCCCGCACTGTCTTACCTCAGGGTCCCTGCAGTCAGGCCATCCATGCCCCAACTGTTGTGGTCCGCCAGCAGCCTGCGGAGCTGGCAGCGGAGTCAGACAGTGAGGAGGCTGGGGAGGACAATGGGCCAGTCCTGGAGTCTGGGGAAGGTTCAGACAAGGGCTCTGCATTGGAGGCAGAGATGAGGCCAGGGCTATCTGGGAGCGATGCGCAGACTCCGGAGCCTCCAGAGGCGGGCAGCAGAGAGGCAGAGGAACAGGAGGAGCCTGATCCTAGTGCATGCATGCGCAGAGCTGCCGGAAGGCAAGAGCAGCTAAAGCGAAAGGGACAACTCGGGAGTAAGGCCAGGAGATGATTGGCCACTCCCATAAGGCTTAAAAGAGCAGCAACGAGCCGTTGAGTTCTTTGTAGAAAAGCAACATTGATTCCTGTGCTTCTTGTCAGCATTTCTTGAACTTTGTGGGTTTTTTGCCAAGAAAAGCCTTTGGCAGGTTGCCAAAGACATCAAAGGTTGGTGATATGGCTGACAGACTGGTTATTAAGAATTTTGTTTTGAACTAAGTTGAGAATAAATTAATTCTCAGCTGTTTAATAAAATAAGTTTGTTGAGGACTGAATTGTGTTTGGTAATCACTACTTGGGCCTCGGTTACAACAAGCAGCTACAAGCCATAATAGACATGGGTAATGAGGAACGAGCCGGGTCGGTTACAAGATCATGGGCAAAACAACAAATGAAGTTGTTTGATATATCAAATGTGCCTGTGAGGTAAAGGAGTGGTGGTTTGTGGGAAGGGGCCGGAGAGAATCCCGTTAAAGCAATATCTGACAGTTCAGCATCATTCCCTGGGGATGGGCAGCCCAAGCAATGCATGATAGGGGAGGAAGCAACAGGAGCTAAGCCTCCATCGATTACATGTCTGAAGTAGAAACGACAGCGCTAATTATAGGTGGGAAATGGGAGGATGGGTCTATCATGCGTGCAATGGCCAAATTGATCAGTGATGCATAAAGGCGAATATCTCTTCAATGTTAGTTTTTGCACTCTGACGATGTTAGCAATGGCTGACGAAAGCTAAGTGGATAATATATATTTTTTTCAATGATGCTGTAACTTTGAATGGTCATTAAAGAAACTGTTCTAAGTCAAGGACTACCTGTATATGCGACTCTGTGCTCCTGAAGGAAACGCAGGGTAGAAATCAAACAAATCATTTGATTCAGTCCACATCCTCTTGATACCGTTAAAAGATGCACCTGTGAGTGTGCAGAAGGGCATACTGGCTCAGCGGTTCCATTCAATGCATCAAATTAATTGGGTGTCCAGTTCAAAAGGATGACTCGAGCGAATCAGAGCTTCATCCAGACCTAGTAAATTGTTAGCGTGTTGGTGTCTAAGTTAATCTTTGAACAACAAAAGAGACCGTTGACAAAAATTGGGGCTCATGAGCATTAGCTTTCTGGAAGCTTGATATCCACCGAGCATGAAAAGAAATATCGTCAGGATAACAGTAGTAGAACAAAAGAATCAATTACTCACAGTAGATTAAAAGAATGAGGTGGGGGAAGGAGCTGGGAAGGTAAATTTGGAATTTGTAGGCATATCACAGCTAAATACAAAATAGCTGATATGATGGAGCCTGTCAGTTACAAAGCACAGTAGTTATTTGAAAGCCAACTGGTCAACTCGTTGTCATCTCAAGACCTTCAGGAACAAACTGTCCAGTGGTGGGTTCTTCCCGGTTCAGCCCAGTTCGGCCAAGCCGGTAGCGGTGACGACATGACGTCACTGAACCAGTTCTCTTTGTTTGGGAGTTGGGCCCTCCCACCCCTACCCCCCCGCATTATTCTTACCTTTTATTTGGCCCCATCCCCAATTTTTCGCTACCTCCCGAGTCCCAGCTGATCAGCTAGAAGGAAAAAAACTGTTTAAACTCTTGCCATGGGGCTTCAAAGGGCCGCCCTACAGCTGATCAGTGTTAAAAGGCAGTGTGGTGGTAGACTAGTGCACTCGAAAAACAAATGGGTAGACTGGTGCCTCCAAAAACAAATGGGTAGACTAGGGCCTCCAAAAACAAATAGGTAGACCAGTGCCTCCAAAAACAAATGAGTAGACTGGTGCCTCCAAAAACAAATGAGTAGACTGGTGCCTCCAAAAACAAATAGGTAGACCAGTGCCTCCAAAAACAAATGGGTAGACTGATGCCTCCAAAAACAAATGGGTAGACTGATGCCTCCAAAAACAAATGAGTAGACCAGTGCCTCCAAAACAAATGAGTAGACCAGAACGCTCCAAGAACAATGGGTACACCGATACAGCTCTGCAAGCAGTTAAAAGCCTGGTAGACCAGTACCTCTGCTAAATCCTAAAGAATTGTCACATGACCATCAAACGATGCCCACAAAATAATGCCCACAGAACCAGTAGTAAAAAATTTTAGAACCCACCCCTGAAACTGTCCCATCCAGATTTAATTTTGTCTTTTCCTGGGTTGGATACTCTTCAAAACAGAGGATTGAGCTCTAAGAAATCTTCAGAGCGTTCTCGTGGCATCTCCGTCAACCCCAGAGGCATCCTCACAAATAGAGATACTGTTAAAAGCCGGTGCATTGTCCATTCCTTTTTTTTTTAATTAGAAGAATGTAATTAGATTAATTAAAAGAACCTTAAGTAGATTTTTTCCCAAATTAGCAGGGAGCATCTTATGCACCAAAGGAGGAGGTCTGCAGGCACATGGATGCTCACAACCATTAGATTACCTAATTTAATCTGATTTGCTGATTTAAACTTCTATCACAACAGGTGTTCTATTGTGATGGCACAGTGGTTAAAATGCAGTATTGCAGGCTAATTCTGCCAACTGCCAGCAGTTTTATTCTGACTGGCTCAAGGTTGACTCAGCCTTCCATCCTTTTGAGGTCGGTAAAATGAGGACCCAGATAGTTGGGGGCAATGTGTTGACTCTATAAACTGCTTAGAGAAGGCTGTAAAGCACTGTGAAGCAATATATAAGTCTAAGGTCTATTGCTAGAACAATTAGACCTCTATCTCTTGGGAAAGATAACAATAGCAATAACACTTAGACTTATATACTGCTTTACAGTGCTTTATAGCCCTCTCTAAGCAGTTTACACAGTCAGCATATTGCCTCCAGAAATTTGGCTCCTCATTTTACCCACCTTGGAAGGCTGGAAGGCTGAGTCAACCTTGAACCTGGTGAGATTCGAATTGCCAAATTGCAGGCAGCCAGCAGGCAGCAGAAGTAGCCTGCAATACTGCACTCTAACCACTGCGCCACTGTGGCTCAAGATATAATCAAACCACAATAACAAAGCACTTCCTTACTTCTCTTCTATTTATTCCTCAGGACGCCAGCTATGATTGGATGTTCTTTTGTGGTGAACCGGAAGTTCTTTGGGGAAATCGGTCTTCTCGATCCAGGGATGGACGTTTATGGTGGAGAGAACATTGAGCTTGGAATTAAGGTTGGTGAGATGATTACAACAAAGTGATTCTTCTTCCTGAGGTAGCTTAGTAAGAGCTTGTAAATTGAAATCTGATTCTAGTTACTAAGTCTGCATTACTATTAATCTTCTCATCGTTCCTATCACCCATCTCCTCCCATTTAAAACTGTACGACTATAACCTTGTTGCTGGTATCCTTACGATTTATATTGACTGTTTCCTAATATGATTTGATTGCTTATTTGTTCCTTATGACTATCATTAAGTATTGTACCTTATGCTTCTTGACAAATGTATCTTTTCTTTTTATGTACACCAAGAGCGTAGGCACCAAGACAAATCTCTTGTGTGTCCAATCACACTCGGCCAATAAAGAATTCTATTCTAGTCTATTCTTCCTCCTGGATCATCCTTTTCGTAAATAAGTGGCTTCTTTCCTTAAACAAATATTAAGTCTTGCCTCCTAGTGTTTCAATGTTTAATATAGCTTTAAAATAAAAGGATGGTGTTTTTCCCCAAATTGATTCTCAAGAGTCACATAAGCTTCAGTCCTAAACCTCCCAATGAAATTGATAGTGTTTCTGCATAAATACACATTGTTGATATATACATGTGAACATCTCTAGAGAAATATTAGCTGGTATCAAGTTCTGTCTGAGATCAAATCAGTATCGTTCTCTAAATCGTAGGAATTAATTAGCTATCACTCCGAAGAAGTAAAAGATAATAAATGTTCACTGTTTTCGTCGCTCTGAATCTAAGGTTCACTTTAGTCTTCTAGAAGATTTCTGTGTTCTGCTAATCAGAAAAGCCCAATTAGATTTCTTTGAGCACTCAGGGGTATGATTAGAAAGTACATTCTCCCTTCCATCCCACGTATTGGTGAGCAACTGGTGAGACCTTTTGCACACCTCAAGGAGAAATAAACAGATTAGAAATTTGTTTCATTTAAAATGTTTTTATTTCATCTGTTGTGCATCATCCCTGAAGACTGTACTATGCAGCAACACACTGCGATATTGTGGCACTATGCAGACAATCCCTTGTAAGCAGTATATGGGAGTAACTCATTTTTGGGGGGGGTGGGAGGTGGGGATTGTTCAAGTTATTTATGGTTCAAGTCATTGAACCGTAAGTTAAACAAATGAGCTCGGTCTGCATTCGCAGTCGCAAACAAATTAACTAAGGTTAGCAGTATAAAATGAATCTATTGTTTGATTGCTCCTGTGAGATCCTTACTTGACCTTCTACCAACACAGCCAAGCTAATGTTATTGCCCAGATCCTGTTGCAATCATGGTTTTTATTTCTTTACTCATCCTTGTTTCTTCCTCTTTCTTCTGTCCAATCTGTTGCTAGGGACTGATGTACTTTGATTGACATACTACTAGAGTGACTAGATGGAGTAGGCAGCCATAGAAACTAATAAATATATACAAGAACATACTTTAATATAAACATGTATTACAGTGGTGGGTTCCTTCCGGTTCGGCCCAGTTCGGCCGAGACGGTAGCGGTGACGATATGATATCACTGAACTGGTTCTCTTTGTTCAGGAGCTGGGCTCTCCCACCCACCCACCCACCGCATTATTCTTACCTTTTATTTGGCCCCGCCCCCAATCTATTTGCTGCCTCCCGAGTCCCAGCTGGCTAGAAGGGAAAAAACTGTTTAAACTCTTGCCGCGGGGCTTCAAAGGGCCGCCCTACAGCTGATCAGTGTTAAAAGGCAGTGTGGTGGTAGACCAGTGCACTCGAAAAACAAATGGGTAGACCAGTGCCTCCAAAAACAAATGAGTAGACCGGTGCCTCCAAAAACAAATGAGTAGACCGGTGCCTCCAAAAACAAATGGGTAGACCGGTGCCTCCAAAAACAAATGAGTAGACCAGAACGCTCCAAGAACAAATGGGTAGACCGGTACAGCTCTGCAAGCAGTTAAAAGCCTGGTAGACGAGTACCTCTGCTAAATCCTAAAGAATTGTCACATGACCATCAAACCACGCCCACAAAATAAGCCACGCCCACAGAACCGGTAGTAAAAGAATTTAGAACCCACCCCTGGTGTATTACTATCAGAATCAGGGATGGTATTTACTTACCTCCGCTACCGGTTTGCAAATGTGAGCACGCATGTGCGCTCACTCATTTCGCTCGCGTACACCACCTCCGCATATGCGCAGAACCTTCTGCACATGCCCAGAGCATCAAAAACGGGATGTGATGACGTCTGGGTGGGTAGGTGCTGCAGCTGCTGCTACCAGCTGGCCCGAACTGAATAGAACTGGCTGAATCCCACCACTGATCAGAATGATATAGATTTGATGACTGTAAGAATATGATTAGATTTTTTTTTAATCAAGTTTTATTGGTTTTTTTCTCCCCTAACAGCCCCCCACATATTTTATGAAACAGAGTATTGACCATATCGTATCGTATTGTATCATATCATATACAACTTGTCATATCCAAATATATTTTACTTAGTTACAATTTCTGCCAAAGTGTTCTTTTTCCATATTTTTTTAATCAAATCTTAATATTCTATTCTTATTTCTATAAACAGCATCTTCTTTTGCCCTCAAATTCTATTTTCTCCGTTTTTAATCATATATATTCTCTTTTAATTTTTAATAATTCATTTTTTATCCTAATATATTTAAACATGTTCGGGGATGCCTTTCTTCCTGTTCATCTTTTTTGTTTTACAGCAATCTTTCTTCTCTTTCTCTTCCTCTCCCTCCCTTCTTTTATCCTTCCTACCTACTTCTTCCCTCCTCTCCTACTCCTTCTCTACTTCCACTTCCTTTCTCCCCCTCATCCTTTCTCCCCCCATCTAACCTTCTCTCCTACTCTTATTTCCCTTTCCTTTCTTCCTCTCCTCTTCCCTTTCTTCTATTCCTCTCTCTCATTCTCCCTTCCTTCAAGATTAGATTAGTTTTGTATGTCTAAATAATATTGTGATTGGTATTAGAATTGTGTATTGAAACATTGAATAATGAAATAATGAATTATGTATCTTAATACAAATAGATGCAAAGTCTTTCTTTCCTTCCTTCCTTCTTTCCTTCTTTCCTTCTTCCTTCCTTTCCTTTCCTTTCCTTTCCTTTCCTTTCCTTTCCTTTCCTTTCCTTTCCTTTCCTTTCCTTTCCTTTCCTTTCCTTTCCTTTCCTTTCCTCCTCCTCCTCCTCCTCCTTCTCTCTCCCTCCCTCCCTCTCTCTCTCTCTCTCTCTCTCTCTCTCTCTCTCTCTCTCTCCATAATGTTATAATGGAGAACATAAGGATCCTTATTAATATTCGACCTGTTCACTGTTTGACATGTTCACTGAAGAGAAAGAGTAGGGAAGCACATTACACATTATAATCACTTAACTTCATGTATGCGCCAATGATGTTACCTAATTTGGTAATGAAACTTCTGCAAGAAAATAACGAAGCTCGGAAAGCACCAAGTATCCCACAGTTCCATCCGAGCTACTAATATTCTCTTCTATTGCAACATTACAATCATCATCAGTTTAAGTAAGCAACTATCACACAGAAGAATGGGAGGGGGGGAGTTCTTAATACAGAGAATACGATTTTGAAGCTAATGGGCTTGAAGGCCAGATAGCTGCCTTAGGAGACTTTTCTTGATAGTAAGAGCTGTTCAATAATAGAAACAGCTTCCTTGACAGCCATCTATAGCCTCCTGTGCGATCTGATATCATTAGATGACACTATTACAACCACACTATTACAACTAGTGCCCATGAATGCGATCTGTGGCTAATTACACCCCATTTGCACCCTAGGAAATAAACTTCCCAATCATGCTATCAATGCAGCAGCATTCATCTTCAGTGGCATGAGTTTTACTGATTTTTTTTTCCCACCCGTAAAATAAGCCAAATGAATGCCACCCACTTCCCCACACCAGCCTCTGCTGCTTTCAAACTTACTCCCACCCGGCAGGCTGAAAATGAGTTCAGGCCTTGCAAGCAACAGTGGTTATCTCTCTTTAGCAGCAATTAAAATGTCAAGCTAATCTTCTAGGTCATAAATCGAGTTTAAGTTCTGTAGATTTAAGTTTTGTTACCAAGCAGGCTGTGAACAGGGCCAGGCAACGAGAGATCGTACAGGTAGTCCTTGTTCAGCTACCATAGTCGGGACTGGTAACTTGGTCGTTAAGTGAAGCAGTCAATAAGTGAAACTGCGACTGTGTTTAGGATCTGTTTCCCTTTGACTATCATTAAGTGTTGTACCTTATGATTCTTTTTTTAAAAAAAGGTTTTTTATTAATCATTCAAAATTAAAAACACCGGACATAGATATGACATCACTGGTTCTAAATATGTTATGTATAAATAACGTATAAGGTTAAAGAATTATATTATAATATTAACTTTAACATAATTTGTATTAGTTTAATGTGTTGTACCTTATGATTCTTGACGAACATATCTTTTCTTTTATATACACCGAGAGCGTATGCACCAAGACAAATTCCTTGTGTGTCCAATCACACTTGGCCAATAAAGATTCTATTCTATTCTATTCTATTCTATTCTATTCTATTCTATTCTATTCTATTCTATTCTATTCTATTCTATCTTATCGATAGAAGAGAATATTTATAGTTCAGGGTTGAGCTGTGGAATCTCTCTGAGCTTGATTCTTTTCTTGCAGATTTCATTACCATGGTGCATTGATGATGTTACCTAGTTTGGTAATGTCTGCAAGAAAACCACCAAGCACTTAGAGAGCACTTAGAATCTTATTTCAGCTTTCCTTTGCTTTACAGATCTGCAACGGTTGTAAATGCAAGGATTGGTGGCGAAGTCACTTTTTCATCACCATCATAACTGTGAATGGTTGCTAAATGAGGCAGTTGTTAAGCAAGGACTAGCTGTAGTCCAGATAGGTAGGGTACAGTGTTTGGAAGCAACCTGACAATAACAAAGGTTTCACAAGAGGAATTGTCAGAAGCCATTCTCCAGGCTTATTTGAGAACTCAATTACAATTTCCCCTTGGCTTTCTGCCT